CCCAGCGGCCTCCAAGCGTCGAGTTTCCCAAGACTGAGGGGGCTTCGAGAAACTTCTTGCGCGGTGTGGCGGCAACCAAGCCCGGGCCGCGGGGACCCATTTAACAGAAAGGAAACGCGGAGCGCGCCAACTTCTCCCTCCGGGGCGCTGGACAGCGATACAAACCCTCCTGCCCCCCCACCCGTTCCCCCCCCCCCACCCCGCGGCCTGTGCTCACAGCGCCCGTCCCGTCGCAAAAGGCCTTCCTCGTTTACCGCTATTTTTTGCCTCAGGTTCTGCTCAGGGGCCGCGGGGCCGCGCACAACTCGGTCAAAGCCGCCAAGCATTCCTCCTCCGGCACACCGGAGGCTCCCGAGGCGGCCCGGCCATCCCTCCCCACCTGCCCAACCTCCGAACGGGCCTTGGCCACCCCGCCTCCTCCTCCTCCTCCTGCCACCCGCACCTCGTTCACCCCCAACGTCCACATCGAAAAAGACTCGGGGGTTGCTCGGGTTGGACGGTTTCGAGAGCGGAGAAGCGTGAGACATGTTGCCGCCGGTTACCGCTGAACCGAAACGCTACCACCACCACCCCCGCCTCCCTCTCCGTCGCCTTCAGCGGCGGCCTTCAGCTCCGCCTTCCCGCCTGGAGAGGGAAGGCCCTTTTTGCCCGCCCTTTTAGTTCAAAAAAAAAAAAAATAGAGGCGAGAATCGCTCTGTTGCCAGGCGGTGCTTTCGGTTACTAGCCGTTCAGGTGGAACGGCGTCGCAGCTTCGGTTAGTAACGGAATGCAGGTCTATCCCTGAGGGACTTCAACTCCCAGAATTCCTTGGTGCGCCATAAAAGGTTCCCCATCCCTGGCCTACTGGTTTTTCAGTTGTGAGGGAATTTCTGACTTGAGTGGGACTCTTTAATATACAAATGGAACTGTTGAATATACAAATAGGACTGTTGAATATACAAATGTAGGGCGTATGCCCTACCTTTTCAATATTAAACAGTCCCACTCAAGTCAAAAATTCCCTCACAACTGAAAAACCAGGTAGGCCACAGGGATGGGGGGAACCTTTAATGGCACACCAAGGAATTCTGGGAGTTGAAGTCCCTCAGGGATAGAAGAGCCAAGTTTCCCTACCCCCTGCCCTAAACAAAGCTTTTGAGCATAGAAAACATATAACTAAGATGTTCTCAAACCTCCCCACCACCACCACTGCCACCTTCCTGGCTTCGGTGTCTTTGGCTGGTTTTGGATTGCGAGTTGGGTGAACCCAGGAAATTAGGTTATGTCATGCAACCTAGCGCTAAGCAGTTTGTCTGAGGCATTCCTTACCAACCCAAAGGCTTTATTTGCACCCAAAACAACACACTTTTTTTTCCTTTCAAAGTCTGTAGCCAGCAAGATAAAAGGAAAGTGATGCATGTTGAGACCAAAAAAATAAAAATAAATCAGATCTCATAGACATATTGGGGTGGGTGGAGGTAACCAATCTGGAAAAACATTCTGAGGTCATAGATAATAAATCAGAGAAAATGTATCTGGTGAACTGAAGCTAAGGAAAGGGCAAATGCTATGGTTAGGGATCGTTTGGAAATGTTTGAAAGTAAAAGTGCTAAATGTCAGCCTTCAAGATTTTCTTCTTTTGCTTTGCATCTTTCGGCTGTCATAAGTAACGGGGGGGGGGGGGGGGGGGGGGGATAAAGTATGGGAAGTGAGCTGGAGGTGTTGCAAACTACTACTTGCATAAACTGAGAAGTGGGGGAGCACATTCTTGCTTAGGTTTCTATTTCTTGCTTAGCTTTCTCTTCTCTGTGCACTGCAAACCTTTATCAAAGTATGCCAAGGTCAACGGACAGAAGCCTCATCACCACCTGAAGATGTCCACATGATGACATTCACAACTTTTAATTGGAAGAACCATTTGAACTATTCAGGGTGGGAACATGGCCATCACTTTGTATATGTGATTTACGCGCGCCTAATTCCTCAGATTCAGAATTCTTTTGTTGCTACCACTTGACTTCCAGTAAAATATATCTTTTCTCTAATTAAAAGAGTCTAAGTATTTCTTTCTTGGATTTTGAATGGAGCACCAGCTGACACTAACACTAATTCCTTTATACAAATTTATAACCCAAGTGCATCTGGAATACTGTATGGAGTCCTGATTGCCACACAGTATTTAAAAAGGCATATATTAGAACCAAAGTGTAAAAAGTGCAGAAGAGAGCAATCAAGGATTGAAGCAGGTTAACTACTTTCTATAGAAAAAAAGCTATCGTATGTAAGACTTTTGACTTGGAAAACTGCATCTGGGTTCAATTCCAAGTGGGGAGCTGGAAACATGGAGGCTATTTGGAAAGATGGTTTAATGGACCACATGATTTTGAGGTCCTGAGCAAAAAACAGCTCGGCCATGCAGGGGTAACTTTGTAGGTTGTCTTGAGTCCCAAGCTTGGTTGAATCTTGCTGGGTGGTATAATGAAGGCATTTGGGGCAATTCCTATTTTGGCTTAATGGCTTTGTCCTTGTTTGAATGGGAGTGAAAGCTAATCCTTTTTTTATACCCTTTTCTCTCTAATTTTCCCTCCTGTAGTTTTCTTTCCTGCTTCTTCTTTGGCTTCTTCTTTGTCTCGCCCTTCTAGCTCTTGAAACTTTTCCTTTTGCTTTTAATAGTTCAGGATCTGCATTTCGAAAAAATTCAAATACGAAGCCAAAGGATCTTCCTCCCCTTTCTGCATCTTCTTTTTGTTTTTTAAGACTCATCTTCAATTCCTCCAGGAGTGATGCCATTTTAAACACTTTTGAACAACCACCCGATTGACTTTAAGTAAAAACAGAAAAAGAAAGAAAAACAATGCCAAAAACTTTTTTTTTAAATCACCAAATGATCCCAGACTGTTCTTTCTTGTTTCTTTCCTTTACTTTTCCTTTCCATGGGTTACTCTATCTTTTAATAAAATTTCAGTTACAATGTATCCTCAGGAGTCTTTTCAAATTTTCACTGTTAATCCTCTTCATTTTTCCAGGTGGCACTCCATTTTTTCCTTATTCCAAGTTCCACCCTTTTGCCTCCACTCTTCTCCTTTTTAGGGCTGTAAAATGACAAAAAAAAAATCTTTATTCTCCTTTTGACACTTAGATTTTCAGCTTAAAGTTGTCTATTAGTGTCAAAATAGACTAATATAAATTTTTTTCTGTACCAATTGTAATTGTCAATATAAAGGTTTAAAAAAGGGTTTTTTAACCTCCTTTTCTCTCTCCTTCACCATTTACAAATCTTCTTTCAGAAGTATCCCTCCAAGTACTTTTAGATTCAGGGTACCTTGCTTGGATGTTCTCTGTTGTTTAGCCCAGTCTGTCCTGCTTTCCTCTTTGTCTTCCTCCTGCACAATCTTATCCAGTCGGGTTCTTCTTTGAGGTGGCTATTTCTGACCACCGCTGCAACCGCCTTTGGGAAAGGGAGTTTAGACCAGCCAAGGAGGAGAGATGCGGCTCCCCTCCACTCGGCTGGCAATCTCCCCCCTCTTTACCACCTCTACGGGGTGGCTTCAGCCCCGATTCGAAAGGATCGAGGCTCTCCAGCGGCGAGCACAGATCAAAACTGCGCATGATCACGGATTTCGGTCTGCCGCTGAAGGAAACCCAAACCGGAAGTCCTCATCCTCTAATGTTCTATTGACGGTTCTCAGATTCCTATGGGGTTATATGGGGGGTCATAGCTGACTATAGGCAAAAGAGGAAATGCAAATCCTGGATGCTTGTCTAAACTAATCTAGTCAGCCTCTGGCTTGTTTATCTGAGCTCCCAAGTGAAGTTTTGACTGCTCTGGGATGATGCAATGAGGGGGCTTGTGTTCTGAAAGGGTGTTAGGCAATACCTATTGTGGCTTAATAGCTTTGTCCTGTGTTGGATCTTGAGTGGGGGGCTAATCCTACCTTCTGTCTTTGTTCACATTTTGCTGCTGGGAGTTTCAAAATAGCCTGTCTTGTTTGCTTTGCCTATGAATAGAGCTATGTAGATACTCGGTCTTCCTCTTTCAATAAACCCTTTATCTTTGAAGTACTGAGCCATTAAGGAAAGTGGGGGTCTGCTTTCTGCCTCTAAAAAATATGTTTCTCCATTTCTCCCTTTGGAGAAATAATAATATTCTGCCTTTTTTTTTTTTCAATATTTCCCAAAATATTTTATCCTTCCAGGATAAATGGGCACTGACTTTCAACAATACGAAAAGGCTGATTAAATGTGTCCTTTTTGGGGGGGGGTGGGTAAAGTATTCCCCTCGAAAAACTGGCACGAGCCACTCCCAGTTGCGCTGTGAAAAAGGCTTCGTTACTACAAAACTATTCGAAGTGCCAAACATAAGTCACCTTTGGTGTAACGTCCTTTTCTTATTCCTTTCCGAGGGAATCGCCCAACTTTTCTAAACGAAGACAAACCAAGGGAAGAGAAGCGCTCGCCATACCTTTGAAACTAAGGCTGCCTTTGCAAAAAAAAAAAAAAAAAAAAAAGCCTTGCGGGCCAACCTCGAGCAAAGCTTAAGAGTTGCGCGTTGGGGAAAATAAAAAATAAAAAATTGCAAAGTTGGAGACGCCGAGCTCTGCAAATCGCAGCCCGCGGAGGAGGAAGGTGCGTGGAGGAGGGCGCTGTGTATGTTGCGGCTCCGCGTGAGCCTGAACAAAACACCCAAGACTTTCAAGCTTTTTTTCCCCCTAGTCATATGACTGATCGGCTGGGAGAAAGAAAAAAGAGGGAGGCGCCTGCCCTGCTCCCAGAGAGAAAGAAAGAGAGAAAGAAAGAGAGAATGAATTAAAGTCAGCTCGGCTCAAGCTCTCCAGCCTGGGCGTCCCGCTTTGGAGCTGGCATGGCGGGGGCTGCTCCTCCTCCTCCTCCGGAGGCTGCGGGGATCGGGACTCTGGATCGCTGCCGGCTGAGCGTCCTGTCTGATCCGGGCTGCCCGGTTTCCCATCCCCGACTGGGCTCCGCTCGGGAGGAGGAAGCGCAGTAGGAGCAGCCCCAGCAGCAGCATGGCTCCGACGCTGCTCCAGAAGCTCTTTCACCAAAGGGGCGGTGGCCGGCTTAGTAGGGGCGACTCGAGCTCCCCTTCCCCTTCGAGGCTGACCGAGGAAGGCTCAACCTTCAGGTAAGGAAAGGCAGCCGTGTTTTAATCTCTCCAGGCTTCCTTTGGGGGTTTTTGGGGGCCTTGGGATAAAGGAACATCCAACTGTCCCAAACGTGAGACCCGGGAGCGCGTAGGGTGCACTTTTTCCTCCTCCTCTATAGCCAGTTTTTTTTTTTTTTAATCCTCTGTAGACTCTTCAGAGTCTTTGCTTTTAGGATTAAAAGTGCAATACGTGTTTGGATAAAGGAGCCCAAATCCTAAACCCCCCCTCCCCCAAAAAAGAGAGAAGGATCTGGCATGCTTGTAATTTTCCTGCCGGTTTTAAGGGAGTAAGAGTCCTACTGCAAGACAAATCTTGGTCGTAGTTTAGGGTTTTCTTCTTTGTAATGGCTCCTAAATGGTTCCAAACAGGTTGCACGTGTAACTGCAATAGCTGGATAATTTGGGGAGTTAGGATTCTTCTCTCTTTAAAATGACCACTATTAGGACATCTGTCTTTTAAAGCACTTAAACTTAAGTCGTATAAGTACATCAGAGAAGCCTGAATGAATTCAAAAAGATGGCTTAAGAGATATACCATTGTGCCTTTTATTGGATTTGGTCTGTGTTGATCCTTCCCAAAATGTATCTAGTGTATTTTTTTACCCCCAATCTGGAGCATTCCCCTCCAAATATGTATAATCATTTCATCAATTCCCACTGAACCTCAACAATAGTTACGCTGGCTGGGGGTGATGGAAGCTCGGTGTATTTGGAAAGCAACAGGATGCGGAGGGCTGGCCCTGATTCAAAGCAGTCCGATGTGATGTACAAACAGCAGACTTTATCCTGGTTTCCAGCTCCTCATCCTTGAAGTGTAAAAGCAGTGTAAAAGTGTAAAAGAAGCGTAAAAGCAAAGGAGAGGTAAAGCAGAGAGAGAACACGTGACACTCTCTCTAGACCCTTTGAAGAAGTACGGGATAAGATGATAATTTTCTTATAGCATTGCTACATGATCACAGTGTTTTACAACCATTCCTTTATACCTTTATAAATAGGCGTTCCACTGTGGTTACTAGACTGATCTCCTATGCAATTATGCTTAAAGTTTAGCCTCAGTGAAAAGTGAGAGATGCAGGCTTATATAAAGTTCTTATTTTTGAAAAAATGTCTTCCTGATTCATTTCTTCTAAATATGTGCATGTTTTCTATTGTGATGTTATTTTCAAAAAATTCAATGGTCTGGTTCTGTCATCTGTTTTTATCTTCTACTATATGTTCCTTGAATGTAAAAGTAAGATGCTTTTGAATGCATTGAGTCTGAATTCTGTTGACAATTGGTATATTTGAACAACCTAAAACCATTCAAGAATATCTGAATTAGTCCCGCTGGCAATTACCATACTGTTGTATTTTATACATAATTATATTACAGCCATAATAGCATAGAATCCTATTTTTATTCTCTAACCGACATGGATATCAAAATGCAGTTGTCCTGTGAAAGCCTTTATATGTCTTATGTCCAATAAATGAAAAGGGGGAAGCGTGTAGGATAACAATGGCCTGTAAGAGTGTTGGGTAACACTAGATAATAGTAATGAAATATGTATTTTTATATCACACTTGCAGAATGCCACACTTAGTGTACCTAACATGTTAAAGAGGCTTTTATACAGGGGTGGGATTTAAATTCCTTAACAACCGGTTCTGTGGGCGTTGCCTAATTTGTGGGTGTGGCTAGGTGGTCAGGTGACTGGCGTAGCTGTGGCTTGCTGACTGGGTGTGGCTAGGTGGTCATGTGATGGGCGGGCATGGCCTGGTGGCCATGTGACTGGCAAACCAAATATAAATGGTCCTCACTTAATGACCAGGTCCTCGCTTAATGGCCAGTTACTTAGCAAGCGTTCTAATTTACAACTGACCTCCACAGAGTTACTTGGCCTGTTTTTGATGTTTTGACAGCCACACACTTATGACCAGTTAAAACATCCTGCAGAGTCCTGTGACTGAGGTTTTCTGTTTTTTGCCAGTTTCCAAGGCCTGAAGAGGGCAGGGTTGAGGCCTGGGCAGCTACGAGGAGCTACAGGGAACTGAAAGTGGATTTGAAAATGACAGTCTATAAAAAAGATCTTGCACCGTGTACATAAAAGAATGGCTGATATTTTCATAATTACAATTCATTCAGTCCCTAATGGAATGCTCTCCCTATAGCAGAGAGAGAGAGAAGCCAGGGGAAGCCACGTTTGGTCACTTAACCTTTTTAGAATGCAGCTTAAAAATGTAGTGAAGCTTTTTACAGACTTATGCAGATATATATATAAAGATAATAGTACAAAATCATCTAAGAAGTTAGATGAATTTTTAATTTAATTTTTAATCTCCCCTCTTTGGAAGAGCTTTATAGCTCCCGCTGCCTTTAGAAAGTTCAAAACATTCTCAAAGATCCATCTCATTCCGGGGATTCTTTTTTTGAACTATTACCATCTGGCAGACGGTACAGGATAATAATAAAAACAAGGACAAATAGTCTGAAAAACAGCTTCTCTCCCAGGGCAGTAGCTCTTTTGAACTCTGCTGTATAATGCAGTGTTGGTGTGATGTCGGGGGTTTTCGGTTCAATGTGTGAAGGGTGAAGGATGTGTGTTTGTGTTTATTTTCATGATCATGGTCATGATGTGAACTGAAGATGGTGTTTGATTTCGTTGTACGAGGTGCAATGACACTAAAGTAAACTGCACTAAGAATGGAATTGATAAGCACATTCACAGAGCAATACTGAATTCTTTTTCTGAAATTTATTCCTCAGTTTAAAAAATGAATATATGAATTCAGTACTGGGCTCTGCTAGTGTACCTATTCAAGAGGATGTAGTATCAAGGTTAGCAAAAATGGTAAGGCAACATACAGATTTAAATTTTGAAACCAGAAATATTTTTGTTGGTACACATATAAATAAAGGGACTACAATACAAATTTAATGTTACACGTTAACAGCAGCTAGACTTATGTTTTCACAACAGTGGAAAAATGAAGAGATCCCCATAGATGAAAATGAAATTAAAAAATTACAATATGCAGAAATGGATAGAGATAAGAGGTAGAAATTAGGCAGATAATGATCACTGCTATGTATGAATTAAATACAGAAGGTTGATAATTATAAACATGTTGATATAATTAACAAAATTAGAAATTTATTCCTCAGTTTCAATACAAAGAAATTTAAATAATTTTTCTGTTACACTGCTGTTACTTATTGATACTTATGTTTCTGGTTTGCTTTTTCCTATTAGGCAGTAACAACAGTGTAACAAAAAAAAATCATTTATGAAATATTTTAAATACTTTATAATATAATTATAATAGAATTACATAGGTAAGGTAAAGTAAGGATATATTGTTATAGAATAGATTGGTGATGATGAAATGAACATTATAAAGTAGATCAAGTAAAAATGGTGATTTGCTCGCATAAAATGATGTAATATTAATAAAGTCTAGTAAGTGATAATAGTAATAATATAAATATATATAGTGGATTTATGATATAAGGATTAATGCAGATTGGAAGGGAAAGACTGCAGAGATTGTACAAAAGTGATTTGTACAAACTGACACACTGCATTTAACTGAAGATGACTGGCTGACTGGGCCGGGGAGGGAGGGGCGGGGCTGGCAGCAGGGAGAAGGCCATCCTCGATTGTTGCGCATGCGCACAATGTTGCACGTGCACAATAATGAATAACTGGGCTGTGAAGGGGGGGACAGGTGGGGGAGAACGATAAGGATTGTTGTGCATGTGTGCAAAATGTTGCGCATGCACACTAAAAAAAAACAGTCCCAGGAGCAGTGGAGCGGGTGGAGAGGGGCGGGGCCAGCCAGGGGTCCATTTTACCGGTTCTCCAAAGTATCGGGAGCTGGTAGAATCCCGCCCCTGCCTAAAGATGCATGAAATTACAATAAGGTCATGAAGTCTAAATTACACAAAGCAGAGTCGAATACTTTGTATGCCTGTAATAATAAAGATATGTTCCTTTTGTCAATCTCCTCATTTGGTATTAAGGGTCATTCTATTTTACTTGAAGATACGTAAAATGAAAATCTGAATAAAATCTGAAATGGCAAATTGAAGAATTAAATATTTTATTTGCTAAGTATATTGCCTTGCCAGGAACTTGAAATGCAGAATGCATTGGGATCAACTCATTCTGTTTCCAGTATTTTTTAGGAATACTAGTAAACAATTACGGTGAAAACAATCTAGTTATGTGCTTTACAGTACCAGGCATAAAATAAAAGTCAGTGTCTGTCGATGTTTCATTTAGAGTACAGATAATCCATACTTTCCATGTTCTTTATCTGGCAATCTATACCACAACTAGCTGGACTGGTTTGATTCCCACGTTATAAGGAACTAAAGGAATGTACATTGCTATGCCCTTCCCTTCCTTCCACTATAAACAAAAATATATATTAGCTACATGACAAGATAGGCATCCCAAAACAAAAAGGTGTGTATTGGGTACATGGCAACATTGGAAGCCTAAACAAAATGTTAAATCAACATGTTTCAAGTTACCATATAGCTCTCTCAGAGAAGATATAGAATAAGACACAATCTTGGCTAACTGCTTGCATAGAACTGAAGAAGTCAGAAAACATATTAAAAAAATGTATATAGCATTTTTGAAATTAGCTTAAATCCATTTTGTCCCTTTAAAAACTTTCCTTTCATTCATTGGGTTGAGGACCTGATTATACTTTGAGGAGACTACCTACCGATGTAGACTTTGTATGGATAATGAAATATTGGACTCGTTATACAAAATACAGTAAGATTTTTAAAAAAATGATAGTTGGGCATATGCATTAGAAATATGTATTTATTTGAATAATAATTGCATTATATAAAAAATTGTAACTAGGTACCTCTAAAATGATATATCTTTTTCCTTTGTATTCTTTTCTCTTTTAAAGCATTTTCTTTATATCTTTTTCTTCTTTGACAAAGTATTGTCATCTTTGTGTTTTTCCAGTTT